AATTAGCTGAGAATGCCTTAGGTATGGGAAAAGATACTATTCTCTGAGACATTTCCACCAGCACTCCTCGCCCTATCGTGCCTATAAGCTATCACCGTAACGTCTTCATCACGTTGCATGGCTTATCCCACCCAGGTATCCAAACTACCGTCAAGCTCGTAACTAGTCGGTTTTGTTGGCCTGGTATTAAAATAGAAGTAAGGGAATGGGCACACATGTGCTTAGCTCACCAAAAGTGCAAGGTGATGAGACACACCAAAAGCCCCCTTGGTACCTTTCATATCCCTGACGCCCGTTTCGAACACGTTCATGTAGATTTGGTTGGACCCCTTCCAGAATCCCATGGATATACTTATATTTTAGCCTGCATCGATTGATTCACACGATGGCCTGAAGCAGTAACCCCAAAGAAGTATCTGCTGAAACAGTCGCACGCGTCTTTGTAGCAAGACGGATCGCAAACTTTGGATGCCCATCCTCCATAACAACTGATCGTGAGCGGCAATTCGAAAGCGGCTTATTCTTCGCCCTGACTGAAATCACAGGTTACATGCGTTTTAGATGAGCAGCCTACAATCCTCAAGCAAATGGTATGGTAGAACGTCTACATAGACAGTTGAAGGCTGGTTTGTCAGCTGCAGACAATGAGTATCGGCCTGAATCATTTCCGTTAGTTCTCCTAGGGGTACGAAACGCCTTAAAAACCGATGCTGGTTGTACTACCGCTGAGCTGGTATATGGCACGACACTACGACTGCCAGGTGAGTTTGCTTCTCCCTCTACTTTCCCACCAGCGGTAGATCACGCCTCATACGTCAGCAGGCTTACAAACGCAATCCGTTCAGTCAAACCTGCCCCCCTTCGACCACAGTCCATTGATGTCCTTGTTCACCTGGGTTTGAAAACTTCTTCACATGTGTTTGTTCGTCGTGACCCTGTGCGTCGCCTTATGTAACCCCCATACGACGGACCATATAAAGTAATTAAACGTATGGACAAATTCTTTGTCTTAGATAGAAAAGGCCGTCAACATCGACCGTCTGAAACCGGCTTCCTTGGAAGGCAATCCTATTAGTCTAGAGCTGAGCACTCCCAATAATCCACAAGTGACCGAATATCCTTCAGTTGGATGACCCCAGCTTCAGCTGTATGAATAAAACGAACTCATAAAGTAAAACTGGGACTAGCGAGAATACAACAGTTAACATTAATTCCCCTTTTGATACTGTCTTCGCGCTCACTATCTACACAGTGTGTTAAAACAGATCTAAGGTTAAATTTTGTTTGTCCCCTGTCTGCTCATGCATGATAGTGTCTGGAAATCCAACAATGAATACGCCTAGTTGCATGGCATACATCTGAAGTCGTCGGAATTTGTCTGAAAAAGCCAAAGCTCTATGCAGAAAAATCCATAGTCACTTTCCTTGCCTTGACCATGTCTACATGAATGTAAGAATTTGACAGTGTCTCCCCCCACCTCCTGCGCCACTTACCTGTTATTATTGTCGTAAACAGCTCATTATCCTGTCGACTTCACCTTTAATTATTGATAAATTAGACACTGAACATTGACCCTCTTCCCTCAGTTTTTCGAAATTATATTTTCCTACTGACATTAGTTTTCTTGGCTAATTACCAGCTCCTGACAAGTCGACATCCACTAACTGCTGTGCATAAATTTATGACCACTAGATTAGTGAATTTGTGCATTATGGTTGCTATGTACATACTTTTTTCCGTGAGGATGCGGATTTTTCAATGTAAATTAGTTTTCAGTGGATACAGTAAATAATTTTGTGACAAATATATTCTTCATTATTTCCACTCTCTTTCTATTCACATTTAATGGTACATGGCTTATTCAGGAAGAATCGTACCCTAAGTAGTAATGCGACCGTGAAATGGTGCCAAACTGAACTTTTCTATCGGCCAGTCATTCTTACTTTCTAGACTGAGCCAGACTCATGCGTACTCACTCAGCCCTATGATTCGTGCAGTATTGAAGGCATGTTTGGGTAAAATAAAACGCATTTTCCCAGTATCACTTTTCTTTATAAGATCTGGTCGTCTTCTGTCGGGAAAAATAGAGAAGATTTCATTAGAATTTACGCCTTTGTGATTATGCATGAATTTCAAACATGGCACACTTTATTGTGAAGGAGCACTCGTTAGTAAAGAACCAGCAAACCAGGTTTATAACCTGTAAATGAACAGCCATTCATTTGGGGCACTCCGTGCTACATTATTATTACACACACTATTACTTTCGTTAACCTTCATCTACGCGGCCAGCTGTTAAGATTTTATTTGCACAATGGGTAAAATTTTTCCAAAATCTAAAACTGGTAACACCATTCTTTGTGGAATTAATTTTTGGAGCCAACTGACTGCTATTATCGGAACATATCTATATTAACATGTGTCGACCGGGCGAAACTTCATAGAGAAGAGCTAAGGCCTCGAGAAGGGAAGAGTTTTCTGTAGAGATCCCGGAAATCGTCCCCATCCATAAACAAGAAGTTATGCTTACAGTATAGCTTATGAATCTTATGATGAGATGATTCTGAATTGTTTAACGAAATTGAAAATCAGCAGAGTGGATTGACCTGAGTGAGGTTGCGAATCACAATGGGTATTGTCGAAATACAGTGTGAAATTCTGTTCTCGAATGGGGACAGCTAGACTTAAGAGAGTAATGCGGACTCTCCAGGTTGTCATCGATGAGAGTGGGCTGTCCTAGCAGTGTTGGAATAAGAAAAACGATGAAACAAACTCCATTTCACCAGCAGAATAGTAAGTTGCGTCCAACCTACCAATTTACTAGTTGTCACCTGGACACTTCAATGTGATGACTTACAGCGGAATAGAAAGGAGCTGGTGATAACGCCTTATTTATAATATCAAAAACAGCTTAGACAAAAATCTTCACGCTCTAAACATTGTCATAAACCATCAAAAGGCTGACGCCAATTTTTGCGAAAGTGCATTAACAGAACATTTTCAAAAAGTCACAGTCACAACCGATAATGTGTAATCAACCAGTACATCGTAAGGCTTTTAAAACAAATACCTACTGACATACTGACAGCTAATTATAGTGGTGGACAACGGACTCAGGCACCACCGACAAATATAGTCACTTGTAGGTGTTAATTGTACCCAAGGTAGACCTCAACTAACCACACTTACTAAAGACTTCTTCCCTTAATACCCTTGTCGGCAATCTACCTAGCTTAAGTACCGATTAATGAACTCAAACTATAGAGGCTTGAGACTGGGTAGTGTGTCCTGATGAGAGTTATATTTTACACAGATTAAATGTTAACCTTAATAAATAGGAGTGTTGTACAACCTATCGGTTGCCCGGATGGGTGGTAAGCTTTAATAATGAGCTTGTAACAGCAAATAATTCCCCCAAATTATTGACCACAGCAATCATCACTGAACATTGGATGCTGACCCTCACTGTTTAAGTCGACTTGTTTAGCTGAAGGCTTCCGGTCAAGCATCCATGCCATTTAGTACTCCGTCGTGTCACGTTCGTGCACGATCACTAGCCAGTTAAGCAATCAGCACGCAATCTCTTAGTTTGGACGATCAAGTCGTGTCTTTCGCTTTGCCTTTGGCCTACATGGAACGAATAATATAATTGTCGGTATAAGATCTTGCGTTAGTGTACTCCCTACAATCCGTGAACGTCAATACGTCAGCCTCTAAAAGCATAATGGTGGCACAGCAAGGAAGTGAATGCTTTTTATGCAATCCATCCGGAAATAACAAGCTGATGTGGCGCCATAGTGGATAAGTGAGTTAAAACAAAATTCAAACATTCACGGTACACTACAAACTAATCGCAAGGAAGGTGGCCAAGTTAAAAATTAGTCACCGAAAGAGTGCGAGCGCCCCGATGACTATAGAACGCTAATTCAGAGAGTCACGAATCCAGGCAAATTACACTGCAATCATTCCATACCTGTACCAAAAATACTGTGTGGAATCAAGCTATAATCAAAATCAGAAAAGTCAAATCAAATAAAGTATGCTCAGTGGTGTCATTATACTGAATGGGACATCAAATGGGTCTTGGGTTATGTTGGTGAATGATTAGGTTAAGGTCTTTGCTAAGGACATTTACGGGGTCACCGCAAAAATGTGCTCAAACCGAGGACGATTAAAATACGTACAGAATTTAGATTCTCTCACAGAGCGGTCAACGACTGGAACCCCTTACCTGATTCAGTAGTAACAGCTCCATCGGTGAACGCTTTCAAAGAGAAGTTGGATCTCTGCAGAGATATATTTTGCAAGGATTAACACAGGCCACAAGAGCCTTCTATCCTTATCAACTGAATCTGAATCTGAAAGGGTAGGTTAGGGTAAGCATAGCTCTGATAAGGGGGATGCTGAAGCTGGTTAGAGATAGACCAGGGTTAGTTTAGGGATAGTTTCGCGTTAGAGTTGTAGAACTTAGATGAATCCACGTATGGAACGTGGTTTAATTACTTAATTGACACTCCAATACTTAACTGTGGGATGTTTCCACACGTCAGAGAGGGGTATCATAAGTAATAGTTGTATGCTTTCTCAATTTATTATTCCCACAAATGCAAGTATTTTGTACACAAAAACAGCCTTTTTCATCTAGTTGGTGCATTCAAGGTCATTGGTGCGTCTTCACTTCTCAGTGTCTGAGGTCTAACTTCACCAAAAGAATAGATATGATATGTGGCCAGGAGTCCCTGCACCTCAGCTGTGAAAAGCGCTATGTAATGACACAGATATATAACCCTAGAACCACTTAAATGCACCACATAGAATAAGTGAAGATGACGAAGGGTACTCCTTTTGGAGTCAACCAAAGCTACGGCAGTCAAGTGGCGGGACGAGCTACGCAGACGTTAACCGAAGATCAGGAACCTCTACCTCACAATCAAGAGGTGAGCACGAAGAAATCAAATTGGTTTATACTAGCTAGTAAAAACGATATTGGATGTTGGACACCAAAATGACAAATGTTTCGACCTTTAGCAGCGGCTGTTTTGAAAAGTCGCCCGTTTGCCGTCTTAATTGCTCATACGTCAAGGAAAGTACTTAGGAAACAACAACTGAGAGATTCTAACGTTATTGATTTGCATTCACCAGAAGCGTTAAATCACAAACAGGTGTATGTATTTGGTTTCTCGGCTACTGGAGCTCTCGGCAAAGGGGAGTATCTTGGTCTAAATGGTTTGTGTTATTTTAAACATTCTTCTCGAAGTTGAACTTAGGGAAATGTGGTACCCACCACACTGTGGGTGTTTCACATCCTGTTGCTCTGACTCACTTGTCAGGTAAACGGATTAAACCGATAAAATCTGCATGTGGATACGGTTTTACAACATATATATGCGAAAGTAGTAATTCGGATTTTGGCGTATATGGATGTGGCATCAATAGTGATGGTCAGTTAGGACCACAGGTTAGTTATGCCTTTTTGGTGGGTGTTTGCAACTGAATTTGACTATTATAAACCGCATACATGTCCTATACTGTAAGATGGTTCGTTGACAATGCAAACTGTGAACTAGCGATCTCTGAGCTCTCAGCTGTTAAAGTTTGTTTAAGGTCTCACATGTTTGCACCTATGAGTTTGCAAATGGAAATCAAGCAATACGCGTGGTGCTTCTTTGGTTAGTGAAATGTAAATAAGGGTAAAATGAAAAATGTTGGTTTGAATTAATAGCTGTACGCGAGATTTGGTGTTTCCATTTGTTACAAGTGTCTAGGTAAAGAGACAGCTCATGTTTGGAGACTGGGTGGTCGTATGGATGAAGCCTCTTAGGTATTATGTAGCAATTAATATTCGATACCAAGTAGTAAAAGCTAATTCGGCTACCTACTGATTGGGAGCATGCATTAGAGTGTCATAATTCAACTTCTTGTTTGCATTGCACATTTAATTTATAGGTGTCAGTAAACAGATAGATGGTTTATATATTATTCAACGTTCGGTCACCAAATGTCTATAGGCAAGTACTATTTCAGGGTATTTATCATCAGTATGCAACGAGTTTCAGAGGGCAGATCAACTGCTTGATTTAGTCTTTAGAGGCTGAGAGTATTGACGTTCATGTAAAGTATGTGTACTAAGTCAAGATCTTATAACCACAACTTCTATAATATTGGTTCCGTGTAGACCAAAGACAAAGCAAAACAACAAATTGATCCTAGACGTAATTCTTGTGAATTGTGTAGTGTATTTGCGCAACACATTTCCAACGGTGTGATCCCCAGTACCCATTAATAGTGAGAACAAACGACCTAACTTCTCTATTGCGAAACATTTTTTGGAAACAGGACATAATATTGATGTTTACACGTCTTTTAAACCTACGTATAAGACGTGTTTGGGGCGTATCCTAAAGTTTGTGGAAGCCCTAGCAATTATGAAGTTTGAATCATCTTTATGCGTTCAAAGAAACAATTCGTCATCACACCAAGTCTTCCTTGGTAAACTTTGTTTTGATACCACAGTAGATGTACTATTACCTCTTATTCGGTTTAGTTATCTTCACTGTTGTTTTGACCTTCAATATGTCCCTTTCACTTGACCTAAGTCTATTTTCTCACCGCTTAACTCTATTAATTTCATAAATATTCCTATGACAAGTCCGTGTATGATCAGATTGTTTGAAATGTGTTGCGCAAATACATTACATGATTCAGACAAATTACGTCTTATTGCTTTGACCAAATTGATCGTCTAAAATACGAAGTATACTTCGGGACCGAAATCATAGTACGAGGATGATTGCTTAACTAGCTAGGGATCGTGCACGAACAACCAAACTTACTTACTTACTTTGCTTCGGCTATCTCCTACGGAAGGATGAGCCGGCTTCATGAACTTTTCAAATCATCGCTACCCAGGCGCAGCGATCTGATGAAGAGAGTTTACGAAGTTTCATGGGAATTTGGTACGAGTGATGTCCCCAGAACCACTCGGCCTTTTGTTTGAGAGTGCAACTCTAGCCTTTACACAACCAAGTGTGACCTACAAGGCAGTAGGAGTGGAGTAGGGAGTCCACTATCCATTGGCAGCCGGTGACCGGAGTTCGGTTCATACGCCTTTTTGAATGGGGCCAGACATCCAGGACATCCAACAAGCCCTTTGTCCATACGTCTGCCGGTGAGCTCCAGTGAGCTTCATACGCCAGTGGTTGGAGGTTTGGAATCAGGGTTTAGCCATCTCCCCTAGACTGTCATCCAATGGACAGTCAACCCGGTGAAGAGCGCCGGGCATCCGCTTTCGCCCTCTCACTTTGGTGAAAAACACCTCCGCCACGTGAAGGCAGTGAGTAGGACTTCCTCAGGAGAGGCTATGTAAGACGCCCGGTCATATGGGAGCATTTCAAGAGGTGTGCGGCAAGGCACCCACCCCCGACCATCCTGAGGCTTTGGAGGCAAACGTAACACGACAACATGCTAAATAGCGTGGATGCGTGACCCCGGGCCTTCATCTAAACAAGTCGATTAAAACAGCGAGGGTCAGCATCCGATGTATATTCGATGGGACTGTACATTTATTTTAGGGACTTATTGTCCAAGCCTAATTTTTTTTACCGATAGTGATTTTAACGTACACGTATATTTTCTGTCAATAAGTTCTCAACTCACTGCTTCATTTAGTGTTTTAAATGTTGTTTACACTTGTTTTATTTCAGTCTTCGGGAATTCAAGGCAAACTTGCTTCAGGAGATTCAGTAAATGTTGTTCCTGAGCCCGCGAGAGTTGACATACATCTTACTCAGGCAGAAAAGCAAATATATCGGCCTTCTCATGTGGCATGCGGCCGGGCTCACACTATTATTTCATATGAAAATTTGAAAGAATCATCTGAAAATACTCCTCCACTTGTTTTCAGTTTGGGTAATAATGTTTTTGGGCAGTGTGGCCGAGAAATAATCGCTGGTGAAAAGTATGGTCAAGATATTGCAGTAATCACAAGAATTAGTATACCTCCACAGATCAAGTCTATTAAACAAGTATGTTAATTGGTTTCATTCTTAACTTGTTTTCCACTATTTATCCCAAAGCTGCAAAACAGTGTGCATAGTCTGACCTGTTAAGTGAAAGTTTGTGTTGACACTGAATCTTGTTGTGTGGAAGTCTTTATTCGCCTGAGGTTTGTGAATTTCCCTCTGCCAAATCAAACTGATAGGCGTCCATTGGTATATAGATGGACTCTTAGTGCAGACTTAGCGATGATGCCTTTTGATTTCGTCTTGATGTTATTCGATAAATAGTGGTGAAAGGTGGATCTCAAGATGCATTTCGTACCACTCAGAAGATGTAAGATAGATGTAGCTGCACTAATTGGTTTATCCTATTCCTAACGGGACTCTAACGCGATTTCAGTCTTTTTTCAGTACTAAACGGTAATGCACTAGGTTACTAAACTAGATCTACTTTCTCTGTGAATGTTTTGGTATCATACATTTTTGCTTATAATTTCCCAATGATTTCCGAATTAATCGGATCCACTGCTGCATGCCTCAATATTGTTTTACTTTTGAACTTATTACTGAGTGGCTTAGCGGATAATGCTTAGAGCTCCTGTGGGAAAAAAACTCCTAATTAGAATGTTTAGATTCACTCCAGATGGCACGAAACACACATTTTTGGTTTCCCTATTGGTTGTGAATCATCAGCAAACCTTTATGTTAGGCTAGACCTACTAACTTCATAGTATCTTTATTAATGAGTCTCGGATCTCAGCCTCACTTCAGTTACTTCGGTGTTGGGAACTGATAGCATCATAATCCTGCGTACATTTAGCATAGATCATAAAATCGTTTTGCATTTACAGCTCGCATTGAATCTGTAGAACTAGTTACTGACGAAATCTCAACATACATGGAGTACTACACTCGTTCTGTTTTCGTCAACTGATCATATTTGGTACCAGTAATGTACCCTGCTGCCTATCAGAAGTTCTTTTTATGCTGCCTAGTATCCGAGATGTAGTTGCTGGAAGCAAGATATGTAAATACTGCAGGTCTTGACCATAAATGTTTCCATTTAGGTGCTCCTACTGAACAGAACAATGTGGTAATTAATGATGACATCAGTTGTATTGTTAGAGGAGAAAATGAAGTCGAGTAATAAGACTGTGAATCTTCATCGACTGAGGTATTTGAAGAAATTGTCATGCATTCCGAGTCGCTGTGTATAATACTTATAATAAACGAAATATGTACATGAAAAGCATGCTATATACGACCAGCAATGTTAACTGAGGTGGCATTTGTTTGTAAAGAAGTCAGACTATAGAGTGTGAATTCATTGACTGCTAGTAGGATTCATCTAAGTTTTATTTCCAATTCTGTGCTCCTTGGAGTTCTAAGATTCAGTGATTAAAGGTGCTGACTAAAATGGTTGAAAGTCATTCACATTGACTCATATGTATTCACTCTTTGTCATCAAATTTATGTACACCTTTTGCTGGTCTTCATTTAGTTACTGGCTGATTATTCCCTCCTCCATATTTTGGTTTTCCATTGAGGTACCATTGTATTTCTCTTCTCATCTCTTTTCTTTATGCGTTCCTTCTTACGGTGTAGTAAATTAAACTGATGCGCACTGCATGCGTCAGTCAGTTATTGCATATGTCAAGTATGACTAACTATATGACCACCTGGTCAATTAGAATACAGAAACGTTATAATTTGATGGTCACAAATTTAAAACACATTTCTTGAGTATTTCATGTTGAACTGACTGTTTTGTTCAGATATTGTGTGTACGAGTGTTTCCTCAATGAATATGTAATTAGCAATCATCCCAGTTTCAACTGATAGCCTCACTAAGTGCAATACTTATTTAGTTCATTTGCATTTCAGTCGTATCTGTTTCTTTTATTTTAACCATGTGTCTTTGCCCACCACCTGCATATCCTTGCAATGAATAGTGTCACATTTCTATCTGTGATTTGTATAAATAATCTTCACTGTAGATTGTCATGTGTTTCAGTAGTAAACGATGTGAATCCATTTTGCCATTAGTGCGCGTATGCAAGTAAAAGATTGGACCAACGTATTATTTTCCCAAGTTAGACCACGGATTGATATCAGTTAGAGAACCATTGAAAACCAGGGAGTACTGGACAACTGTTTCGTGCTGGTTTTCGGACTCATTGACAGTGCGTGCTCATTGGGCTTCGAACCCAGGACCTTCCGGTTATAAGGCGAGCTGGTATACCATTCAGCCACTGGGATCCGATTCAATGACCCATGAATTCTAACTTCTACCAATTCAAGTCCCAAAACTAGGATGAAACAGATGTCCAGTACTCCCTGGCTTTTAATGGTTCTCTAACTGATATCAATCCGTGGTCTAACTTGAAAAACAATGTATTTTTTATTGTTTCTTTCAAAAAAGTAATACAGGTATGTGTTATTAGATGGCTGGAGGGAGTCTTCAGGAAGCCTTGGACCCAGGTTTCATGGTTTTTGGCACCCATCAGTCAGCAAGGCCTATCTTCAGTCTTGAAGAAACTTATGTCCCTCCTGAGATTCGAACCCATATTACCCAGTGCTGTGATCAGAGACGTTACCATTGGGCTCATCAGGGTCGCGATTGCCCTCCCGTAGGACCGTATTAGATACCTAGGTTGAACACTAGGTAGCAAGTTACTGGTATCGTGCGTCTAGTCCTCGGTGCAAACGGAATTCTACCAGTCAAGTTTGCAATGTGACAAGCATGCTGGCTGACTCGACATCCCGACTCCGAATAGCTCAGTGGCAACGCCTCTAACTGCAGAACTGCATGACACGGGTTGGAATCTCAAAAGGGACATGAGGTCCTTCAAGATTGCAGATGCACCTTACTGACTGGTGAGTACCAACAAGCTCGAAACCTAGATCAAGCAAGGCTTTCTACCGATTCCTTCCAACCATATAATAACAACAGTTCACAGTGCACTTAGATGGCAAGCCTCCTGCCATGGTAGCCACATTGCAAAGTTTATTGATAGAATTCAGTCTGCACCAAACAAAGGACTAAACGTATGACACCAGTTACTTACTACCTAGTATTTAATCGAGGTACAGTTATGCTTTGCTTAACAACTTCTGCCATTCCATAATAAGACAAATGCAAAACCTTTTAATTTTCCCGCTTTGTAAGTATGTCTTACTGACGGGTTTCAACATAGAACTTTGTACAGATGTGCAGCAGTTCAAGTTGCCGCTCTCGATGTACACCACACAAAGTGAGAGAAGATAGTAAAGAGAGATAATAAACAAAAGTGTGAGGGAAAAAGAATAGTAAAATGGAAGAGAAATAGGGTTTTATTGGATATTACAAATCACAGAGTGAATGCATCTGCGCCATTCACAACAATTTTGAGTCGTATCACCAATTGTCACCAGTCACCATTGCATCTTACAATCTTGAGGAGCCTAACCATTCAAGTAGTCAACACCTCCCTATGTGACTAGTTTAAACTAACTGTTATGGATTTCACTGACTGATGAAGCCATGTTTTGGTTTGATTGCCACGTGCTAGCTCTTTTCCAACACCTGGTCGATCCTATGTCATCTAACATTGCTCCTCGAGGAAGGCAATGGCTAGGCACACTTAACAGTGTGTATGAAAATATGTTTATTAAAATTTTTCATATTTTGTTTTCATTTTTGTTAGATTGTTTGCGGTCAAGATCATAGCCTTTTGCTTAGTTCAGATGGTGTTGTTTATTCCTGTGGACTTGGATCAGATGGACAGACGGGTTTAGGCCATTACGATACAGTTGATCGTTTCACTCCTGTTAAGGGTGAATTAGAAAATGAACGTGTTTGGTGAGTTCCTATTCTATTTCAATCTCAATGTTATTGAGGAATCAGGTTACTTGTTCATTAAAGTCGTACATCCCACTAGGTGCTCTTGTCGGCCTCGATTGTAAAGTCTGTATGATTTACGAATTGTACTCACTTCTTCAATGAAGTTACTAAACTTTATTAATTTCACAGCCTAATAATGTTAGTAATTGGTGTAGCTTTGTTTACTCGTTTCTGATGTTGTTGTTGTTTTTCCTGGACGGCTAATAAGCTCACATTATACCTTTCCACATTTTCCTTTTTATTCACAAAGTTTACTATCATCTCGTGGCGACACTGTTCTTGCGCTTACTGAATCCAACAAACTTTTTGCCTGGGGTAATAATGAATACGGACAAATATGGCCAATCGATCAAGCTGTACAAGTTGCAGAACCTGTTCATTTGAATTTAGATCAGTGTATTGTCCCACCGGAGTCAAATGTCCCAGCAGATAGTGTTCATATTGGAGAGATACAGTCAATCGGTTGCGCTGGTTCTATGTGTTGTATAGTCAATAAAATTGGACAGGTAGTCTCTTATCATTCTTATATAACTTTTTTATTTTTAACTACTGTTAAATATTGTGCTTCAATTTATACTAGTCATTTATTGCAGCTTGTGTGTTAATTAAACTGGTAAATAAGTTATAATTTCTAAATAAAAAATGTCTAACTGTAAGTGGTTTATGAGCTTTTTGTATTGCCCTTTTAGTTCTTTCACCTAAGCAAGCCATCCATCTAGATTTGATAGAGAAGACTTGTAGCTCAGGTGGATGATTTTGATGTGGCCGTGTTCTCTGAGCTGGATAGTTAATTTGCGAAGCTTTCATCGCCCTACTAGGCGACATCTTCAGCGCAGACTTCAATTTGAAGTGAGCTTTTAGATTCCTACACGAGTTTATTAATCATCTCTCCCCGCGGGTGACCTTGAACGTGATTGGTTGTTTTTGTGTGTTTTCACACCTTCTAGGTTACTTGTATTGTAATTCATTGTTTCTTTGACTCGAACTTTGACCCTATGTGTGTGACGTTTCTTTCTTATCGGTTGATAAATTTTGTCTATCTCGATGTGTCTATTGACTGATGATTCACTGGAATGCCAAGCTTCTAAAAATTCTCTAGCATTCTAGTTGTTTCCTCTGTCTAATATTTGAACGTTATCCCAGTCGAATTAATGTCCGTGGTTGTCTGTATGTAGTGATATGAGGGAGTGGATATCATGTCTTTTGACAGCTAGCTTATGTTCGTGGATACGAAGAGGAAGGGGACGTCCACTTTGGCCAATGTAGTGTTTTTCGCAGTTGTTACAATTTATTTTGTAGATGATGTTGGTTTTATCTTCCTTCGCTGTTGAGTCTTTTGGTTGACATAGAATTGAGTGAAGCGACTTTGTTGGTTTGTGTATGACGTTAATTCCTAAAGGTTTGAAGAGTCTTGTAGTGATTTCTGAGATATCCTTTATATATAGTAAGGCGATTTTCTTTGTACTTTCCTTGGGGGCTTTTGATTTGGTAGGTTGGCTCGGGCGTATATGTCTTTTGATGAAATTCCGTGGATATCCATTCTTTTAGAAGACGTCCATGAGATATCTTTCTTCGATTTCCCTTAAGGTGGGAGTGCTGCAATGAGTCCTGGCCCTCTTGAATAGTATTTGTATGCAATTCCTCTTGTGTGCTATTGGATTGTTGCTGTTGTAATAAAGGATTTGGAGGTAGGCAAAATTTATCAACCGATAAGAAAGAAACCTCACACACAAAGGGTCAAAGTTCAAGTCAAAGAAACAATGAGTTACAATACAAGTAACCTAGAAGGTGTGAAAACACACAAAAACAACCAGTCACGACCAAGGTCACCAACGGGAAGAGATAACTAATAAACTCGTGGAGAAATGTTAAAGCTCACTTCAAATTGAAGTATGCGCTGAAGGGAGATGTCGCCTAGTAGGGCGATGAAAGCTTCGCAAATTAACCATCCAGCTCAGAGAACACAACCACATCTAAGCAAGCTATCCATCTGTTGCACTTTTAAATAGTTATGTTTTTTTGTAATTCTCCTACAATCATTTTGATGATCTAACTTCTTCATGATCTGTTAAGCAACTGGCTAGGGTTAGGCAGAAAAGCAACCGGCGTCATTACACAATATCTACTGAAATTTGTGATAGCTTCTTGTCTGTAAATTAGATTCACATATTACAATGTGCTCAGTTTGACTGGGTTCACCACAGTTTCCTTTGAAAACTGAGATATGATCTGGTTTGATAACATAAATGGTAATTAGGAGAGGACGGATTTCGCTTATTACTGTAAACCACTGACCGATTGAGACAAGTAGTTGCAAACCAGTCATATCACAGACTGAGTAGTCCTTGCTAGCCAGATCGGAGTCACCTAGACATTGGAGGACCGTTCCTCTGGTTTGTAGCCGAGCTCATCAGCGACTTAGCAGGTTTGACTCAGCTCAGACAGCCGAACCACTTCAAACCAACAGATTTCTGGCTTGCTGATTTACTATTATAATATTGTAACAACAGAAGGCAAGACACGGAAACCTAGGTGTATTTTCAAGTGATCGAACAGCTATACAGTTTATATTTTGTAACCAATCACTGAGCGTGTGATTTTATTATTATTATTATTATTATTATTATTATTGTTTCCTTTAATTCCTAGAGGAACATAGGGCTTCAGCCGTGCGTCTCCATTGCGTTCGGTTCTCTGCTAGAGTCTTCACTTGGCCCCATGTCTGCCCACACGTTTTCATCTCCTCTTCACATGACCTCCTCCAAGTCACCCTTGCACTGACGACCAACTCGCCGCTTCCCTTTCGGTTTCCACCCGAGCAATGGCTTGTCTAGTGATGTCACCTGATGGTTTCCTCAGAGTATGGCCAATCCATCTCCATTTCTTCCTGTCTGTTTGTTTCACAATCAGTTCCTGGTTGGTTCGCTCATTGCCAGAGATCTCTGTTGCTGATCTTTTCTGGCCATCTGATCTTGAGTATTGAGCGAAGACAACTGTTAATGAAGGTCTATAGTTTGTTTTAGATGCTCTTTATGACGCGCTGGCGAAGTCTCTGATCTGTATAGTAGCACTGTCTTCACATTGGAGTTGAAAATCGGGATCTTATTTTTGATGCTGAGTGCTGTTGACCTCCACACAGACTTGAGAGTAGTGAAAGCTTGTCTTGTTTTTCCGATTCTTGCTTTGGTATCCCCGTCAGTTCCGCCTGTAGTTGAAACGATGCTTCCCAGGTGTGTGATTTTGGTTTACATTGAACAACATGAAATAGAATGTTCCAGTATGTATAGCATTCTGTTGCTAATATGCTATTGAATGTGCGAATAGTATTTCATTGGAACCCATTGTCTGTATCACACTACCACAATATTATTATTGCTGTCTTCTTGGTTTCCGAGTGGAACGTAGGCCTTCGGTAGCACATCTCTACTTTGTCCTGTTCTCAGTGATCCTCTTTATCTGGCCCTATAATTTCATATAATCTCTCATCTCCTCACACCATCTTCCTCACGTCACCCTTGGACCCATGCCCAACTCGTCTTCTCCTACTCGGACTCCACTCGGGGGCTGGCCTGGTGAGCAATGTCACCCAACAGTCACCTCAGCCTGTGTCCGACAACTGTCCATTTTTGTGGGATATTTTTTGAGCAATAGCCTCTTGATTGGTTCATTGGTTGCTGATGTTTTCCCGCCTGCCACCTGATCTTCAGTATGGAGCTGGCGAAGGCAGCTGTTGATGAAAGTCTTCAATATGTTGTTTGGAATGTTATTCGTCACTCTGAAAACAAGTTTCTGACTCGTATAGGAAAACTAAATAACCTGACATCGGTGCTCAAAATCCGCATTGTTTTCGTTAGCGCTGAGTGCAAAAGATTTCCAAATTGATTTCAGAGTGATGGCTGCCTGTCTTGTCTTGTGGAATTATAATCATAAATTACTTTTCTGATTTAATTTTAGATTCCTCAAGTTTTATTAAAACTTCTTTATTTATTATTTATTTATCTGTCTATCTATCTATCCTAGGTGTTTGTCTGGGGTTTCGGATGTATTGGATTAGGTCCAAAAGTGAACTGTGCACCACGGCCAACATTAATCCCTCCAGGTTTATTTATGCCAGCAAGTGTGAACAGTCCATCACGGATAAATTATATCGCCTCCGGCTTATATCATTTCATTGCTCAAAATACTGATGGTTTATTATGGGCATGGGGAGCGCCACGTGGTGGGTTATACTGTCTTGGTTTAGGTGCACAAGTGACAAAATCAGCAACTGATCAAACCTTTCCAATGCCGTTGCTTCTTCCAATTAAAGCTACACAAGTAGTGTGCGGTGTTGATCACACTGTGGTTATTGGCAAGTCATTCAGTTGACAGGTGGTGGTCTTACTCACCAATACTTTATTGATTACTATATGAAACAAAAAGAAAACATCATGCCAGGAATAGAAACAAGCAACTGCATTTACGCTGTTGTAAATATTCCATCCTATTCTGACCAGTAGTAAATTGAGAGAGAAAAAAAGCATATTTAACATTCCTACTGTTGTGTAAATTATCATTGTGTATAGTATAGCAATAAAATAATTTTGAAAATGTATGTGAGTTATTATTTCACTTGATCTTCATTTTTGTTTGTATGCCAGCGTTGTTTTACACTTTACTGTTGTCATTGAACACAATGTTTGACGGTAGTGGTGATGGTGGTGAGAAGTGTAAACTTTATTAATCGCAGTAATTTTTGCTGCATTACAGTCGTCACGGTTCACTGAGATTATGTGAATTCTAGTAGCTGATAATAGATCACTACAATAGAAAAAAGAAATGAATGTATCTGCATCCTTGAGAACGATTTCGATCTATGCCACCGGCAGTAGTCTCCAGTTACTGGCTCTTAGCGGCTCAAAGACCCAAGTAAGACTAGACTACACATACCATGCGTGGCTCAAGCTAACAGTCAAAGGTCTCATTTATGATGCGAAGTATATTTAGTCTAATCACTCGAAACTTTCTTGCAAATTAATCTTATATTCGCCAACGCTGTTCGTCTGGGAAGGCTTTACCGAACACTGTACATCTAACCTCATTATTAATGAACATAACTTGAGGGATAGAGTGCAGACACACCGGTAGTAGTGGGAGACGCCTAAGCGCTTCATATCATCCACTTTCAATGACCATATCTCACAGATATAAAAAATAGGGACGGAAGGAACTGCAGCTCAGTAGGCTTGTGCTTGGCTTTTACTTGCCTATCAACCACTAAATGAAATGATATTCAAAGGCTGGACTAAGTGAGTATTTTCACCAGTTATCTCCATTACTTACACAGGTGTTTGATTATTACCATTTTACTTACGGGGTGCAGATGTGTGTATAGTTGGAATTATTACTACTTTTGCAATGGTGTATGCAAAGTATGCCACTGGAATTAATCCTATCCTTTCATTCTTATTTATTTTTACTCATTTTCACCTGTCTCTTGTCGGGAATCAAACCAACTCGAACAGCTGTAATTATGAGGACACTGCTGATGCACACATGTGCTTAAGTTGGTACTACTTGAAAAAGCCAACAGAAAAAAAGATAAGCGGAGTGTGCTAATAATATATGAGATGGTGCATTATTTAAAACCGTCATGACAATGATTATTGTGAAGATAAGAAGTGAATACACGTAAACCACTGTGAATGAGTCGGACTTACATCACAATAACTCCTAAGCAATTCAGATGACACCGTCAGATAAACCAAATCTGCCTATGACAGCGGTGATGGTGAAGACATATGTTACACATACCTGGCCATCGCCTTCCTCGATGAGAAATGTTAAGTGACATAGGATCGATCAGGTTGGGAAAGAGCTAGCACGTGGTGGTCAAACCAAAACATGGAGTCAGTCCATGGAATCTTTGACAGTTAGTTTGAGCCAGTCATGTACGGAGGTGTAGACTTCCTGGTTGCGGTCGTCGGGATCGTAAGAACCAATGACAACTGCAGACATTTGGTGATATGGGTTAAAATCGTTGTCAGTGGCGGGCGCAGATTCATTCACTTACTGCAATCTGCCATATCTAGTAAAACTTTACTGATTTCTATGTCACTGTTCTTTCTCCCTCACATTTCTGCTTATTATCATTCTTTTGAATCGATTTGCTTCTCTTTGTTGTCTTCGTCAGTGTGGTTCATGGAGTGTGGTGACCCGAACTGTTGGATTTCTGTTCAGTATTGAAGCTAGTCAGTAAGTGGTAACAGCAGTTGTAAGTGACAACCATGTGAATTGAAATCCTCGATGATATTCGTAATTGTGGTGAACTGGATTATGCGTCAGACTGTGCGTGGGAGCGAGGAGCTAGTAATACGCTAGACCACCGATAGGAATATCTGGATTTCGCGGATGATATATGTCTAATGTCACACAAATTCGAAAACTTACAGGCGAAAAGCAACAAACTGGCTGAAGAAGCAGCGAAGACTGAACAGATTTCAGTTGAACATAGAGAAGGCGGAGGTGATGAAGAGAATCAACGAACCGCAACAACAACAACCAGCACTAATCACCACCAACGGAAGGGATTTAACAGAGGTTACTTCCTTTACTTATCTGGCCAGGAGGCATGGTTTCAACTACAGGCCGGCGGAACGGATGGAGATGTCAAAGCAGGCCAAAATTGCAACGGCAAGATACGCCTTCATCAACCTGAAACCAATTCGGAAATATTCTGCACTCAGCCAGCATAAAGAACAAGATTCAGGTTTTCAACTCAAATGTGAAGTCAGTCAGTTCTTCTATGCGGGTCAGAAACTTGACGTGCGTGTTAAGAAAAGGATTTATAACAGCCAGCTGAAGAATTTTATCAACAGCTGCCACCTACGCTGGCTCTATACTGAAGATCAAATGGCCGGTCGGAAAGAATTAGCTACACGAAACTGTGGGAACAAACCAACCAAGAGCCATCCACTGAACAGATATGTTGGGAAAATGGAGATGGATCGGACATACATCGTGGAAACCGTCAAATGACATAGCGCTCAGTGCAGGCCATCGCTGGAGTGGAACCTAAATAGGAAGCGACGAGCGGGTCGTCCTAGGGTGACAAAGATGAGATTGTACGAGTTGGAGGAAATGAGCTATTATGGGCAATCGTGGACCCAGATGAAGAGGACAGTACCAAATAGAACAAATTGAAGATTTGTTGTTGAAGCCATATGTTCCATTGGGAACCCAAGGGAATAATAATGTTAATTAAAATCATCTAGTGTTTTCTATCCGCTATCACTCCTCACTTTTAAACGAATGTCCATAAAAAATTAACGGATTTTGTATGGCAGCCTTAATTTTGCTTTTTGAAAATCCAGTGAAAAATCTCTCGATTGATAAGACCACCTCACACTGTGACAGGAAATAATCGAATTGATATGATGTTAAAACATTCAAAGTTTTTATTTCTTTGAAATTAGTTCTTAGATCTATTTGTAATTTTCCTATACACTGTTGTTGATGATGAAATATTATCCACATAAAAGAGTATTATAAGGGTATCTCATTCGTTCACCACTACTACTACTACCCCTTTGGTGCACTGAAGTTCATAAAATCGTTTCACAGTGACTGGAAATCTCTGACTATCCTACCTCGCTGATGATAATTATAGATAGTTATGTGCGAGTATTTGGTTTGCACCAACCATCTCATTTTTAATGTGTGATGAAACAACATGCCGTATATCCCTTAACATACTTGTAATTCAACTGAATTCCTTCTCTCATTCAATTGTGTTCTGAGTGGAGAACATAAGCGATCAAGCTTCGAAGTTCCACTAGCGTTGGTGGGTTGACGTCAGACACGTCCTCCTCCTTTCCTCTCCTACTATAACTGTCGAAGACGAAATACCTGGTAAGGGAATGTTTATTTGCAATTTGGCATCTCTATATACCCAAATTATATACATTTTTTCTTCGACACACCATTTGCGCAGATCTTCCGTGTTGTGATACTTCTGGCCTTCCTTCATATTCTGTTTTCCTCTGTGTTCCTTTCACGTCTCTCACATATCTCCGCAGCGCTGTAACTCCCTACCTATTTGATGTTGTTATGCCTGTGAACGTCTGTTTATATACTACTGATAAATCGAGTCAGTAGCACACGCTATGTGACGACTGGGAGTCGAACCTCAGACCACAAGCTGAGCTTTCTACCTACCATTGAATCGCCCCAACTAGCACACCAAATTCGACTTTACTGGTGAATTAATAAACGCCTAAGAGAATTACTGTTATTATTATTGTAAGTTCTAATCTTGTGTTGACATATTGATCCATCCACTCAAATATTGACAAAAGTAAGAATTGAGGAAGTTGAGGAAGGCTGTATGATTTGTAAAAAGTCTCATATATATTTTTTGTGCATGTGTATTTATTATAACTTTTGATTTCAAGTAGTTTTGTTGAAAGGTTTATACAATGTGTACTTTAATTTTGTTTGTTTTCAGACTGGTTACATATTTCTGTGATAATTCGATAAGATATTACAAATTTGAACTAGTTAGTTAGTTCTATGTCAAAAAGTTGAGTTTATATAATAGGAAAGGTAATTAATAATAATTTTTGAGAGATTTAAAGCTAACACTACAATATTATCATCATCATCACCATCATCAGTGAACTTCTCATACTGTTGCGTCCACAGTTTCTACGAGTTGTTCAAACCAGTACATTGTGCAGTTGTTTCCCATGGGAAAAGTATAATGCTTATGATGTATTAGGAGTGAAAAAATCTGCAACAGCTGATGAAATTAAATCAGCCTATTATAATTTATCGAAAAGTCTACATCCTGACCGATTGTCCCATTCGAATCCAGATAAATTGAAAAGACAAGAGTTTCAATTAGTGTCGTCTGCATACACCTTGCTTCGAAATACAGAAACTCGATCACAATATGATGCATATTTGGAGACTGGTTGTTGGCTACAGCACAACAAAAATGATGTGAGTTAAATATGTGTTAAGATGCATAATTTGTTGTTAATTCAACAGTATTGATTTTCTTGTTGATTGATTGGATGGGAATGTTTGACCTGTGTTGATGCTTCGACGATTTGTGAGGATTGCATGGAGGATTTCATCATGAGGTGACATCAGTTAGAGAAGCACTGGAAAACCTGGGAGTACTGGACAGCGATTTCGTCCTAGTTTGGGACTCTTCATAAGTACGCATCCACCAGAGTTCGAACCCATGACCTTCTGGTTACAAGGCCAGCGAGCTGGTAGGCCATTCAGCCACTGGGACGCGATCCAATGGTCCATGACCGATCGGTGAGGATTAACTTGAAGTCATTTGATGGATAGTGGTGACTGACTAGCAGTGGAGTCTAAGAAGCGCATTTCGTTCAATTTTGGACTCAGTGAGCGATGCTGTTCGCACTGATACACGAACCCCAGTAGCTATGGAATGCGCATCCTGGATTCCACTGCTAGTCAACAGTCACTAAAATTACTTCAATATTGCATTATGTTTACGAAAAACTAAAAGTGCATTTGTATTCAATTAATTCAATAAAAGTGGTTTCTTTTTAATAGTTTTGAAAAACTAATATATACACATTTTTGCAGGAAACTTCGTATTAATTTCCACTTTGTTCAACAGCCTATAAGCTGATAAAATAGATGAAGATTAATCTACTTTTATCAAATCTAAAGTACCTGCAGTCAAATAGGTGTAATACGTATCAAGTATTCAGGAGTAGACACCAAAACCGACTTGTCATGGTTTAAACGCAGAGAATCGATCCTTGCATCAGACTGTTAAGCTGTCCGACACTTCTTTGAGGAACGCATAGTCACAAAACGCTCCAAAGACAGCAAAAAGACAGGTGTTTGTGACTGAAATCTATGTGTGTTGAGAACTTTAAGTGCGCTTTTCTTTTTCGGTAATCATATTGAACATCAATAGAGGTTAGGAGAAAAAAAAAACTTGCTTAAACTACTGAGATTACTTACTCTTGAAGTCTTATCTTTGAACCAATCTAGCATGTTTTGAAGTTGAGGTTCCTGCATCACTGTAGTCTGCATAGCCTGATTCAGACCAGCAGACTGTTGTTTTTCTGAAATTTCCAAGTGAATAATTAAAGTATCCTTAGTCTTGAGTCGTTTTATATTGCCTTCATCCTAAAGAAGATTTCTTCCGAAAATAAGGATTGACCTTTTAAACTTTAAACGCCTCCGAGACTTTGTCCTGTAGTTCTTTAACTGAACATAAACTGGATGCGGAAACGGTCTTCACTTCCTCAGAGGCTTTATGCGTAAATTAGAAGTAGGCATCAAAGATGATGCGCTGTCTGAGTTACAGGGTCATACAATCCTCCATCATCATCATCAAACGGGTTTATTAGGCCCAGCTCTCCTTGTAAGGACCAAATTCTGGCTTCCTGTTTAGCCTGAAGCTCACAAAAGTCTTTTTTTTGTCTCCAAACTCACCTATGACTACCCAAAGAGATAGATCTAACACCATCATTCATTCAACCAAAACAAGAGCCACAACATGAAAATGCAAAAAAAAAATAAGGGAATTACCGCCTTCCTGGAGGTGGTGCATCCAATGTCTCCATATTCTTCTCCTTGTTCACAATAGGATCCGTAGACATCTCCATTGAACGTCTTCCAATTATATTATCATGGTGTGTTAGTGAATTGCAATTTCTGTAAGGTGATTGTAACCAGTCGATAACAGGTGAACCGAATTATTGAATGAAATGTAGCATAACCTCTACAGTCACCTTCTGCTTCTCACTGAATACACGTTCATATACAACAGCAAAGTGAAAGAAAGGCTTATTTTGAATGGTACTACATTCTTGGATGTTAGATGTAACCTCACTCACTAGGAATGCAGGTATATACACCCGATAAGTCCCGAATAAGACAAAATGCTCATCCTCGATTCCAGTGCTAGTCGATATCTATCAAATTAAGATTCAGTTTACTTCACTTTGTCTAAATAAAAATCCTTATTTTCTTAGATCTATGTGGTTATAGTGCGTCGGTGGTACAGCGGTACAATGCTCGCCAACGACGCCTCCTGTGGTTCGAAGTTCGATCCCCGCGGCCGACACGCACTGCCTTACCTCGCTAAGCCAGTAATAAGACTGGTAAAGAGAGAAGGTTGGGCACGAGACTGACTAGCAACCCCATCCCGTAAAAGTAAACACCATTGCTACCGAAATGTTATACCTCTAGCTTAAAACTCTATGTTCTGTTCCATTGGGAACGCAAAGAAATAAAACAAAACTTCTCATCAGCCGTGTACAGCCTAAAGAAATGAATTACATTTAAAGTACGGAACAATTTTAACATACTTGCAAATGTTACTGAATATCATTTGACAAGAGTGCTCAGAAAATTACACTTATGTAGTTTACACTCAAAGATTTCAAGTGTAAACAAAAATTAAAGACTTGAATACAATGGCAAAAGAGTTATGTGATAAAGATACAAGACGGTGAATAAGGTGATGGAACAACTAATAAATTGAGTAACGATCTGGTGAGTTCAACTCAAATTATAGAAACAAGAGACAAGCGAAGTTACGCTATGTCAAAAGGGAGAGAGAGAGAGTTAAAAGCCGAAAATTATGTAATCGTCAAATGAAGGAGAGAGAGAGAGAGCAATAATGTCCAGTTACCAAGAGAAGGGAACAGATCAATCGGGTTTCAGGTGTTTTATAGCAATTGCTTCGGCAAACATGACGGGAATTGAACTATTTTTTGTCTATTGATGATTTTAAAGGTGTTCGTTCTCTTGAGCGAGGATCGGGAAAGCAAGGCAAGCTTTCATTACTCTCAAGTGTGTGTGGAGGTCAACAGCACTCTGCATGAAAAATAACATCCGAACTTTCAACTCCAACGTGAAGTCAGTGGTATCATTCGTATGAGAGACTTGGCGCCGCGTCACAAAGTGCACGTCGAACAAACGACAGACCTTCATCAACAGCTTTCTTCGCTCAATACTGAAGATCAGATGGCCGGCCAGAAAAGATCAGCAACAGGGATCTTTGCGAGCAAACCGATTGTGCAACAAATTTTTTTATTTTTTTAATTTTATTATAGCTTGATTCCACACAGCATTTGGTACAAGTATGAAATTTTCACCATGTGATATCGGTAGCCCAAATTTAGCAGGCCGACCATAGATATCAGGTGTGCGTCGGCAGGGGATCGAACCTCGGACCATGTGCATGGTCGGCGAGAGTCCTAACCGCTGTGCCACCGACGCGCAGGAAGAAATGGAGGTGGATTGGTCATACACTGAGAAAACAAACCATCAAGTGACATCACACGCCAGGTCATCGCTTGAGTTGAACGCGAATGGGATGTGGCGAGTTCGTCTTCAGTGCGAGGGTAACATGGAGGAAGTCAAGTGAGGGGGAGACGAAAGCATGTGGGTAGACGTGGTGCCAGATGGAAACGTTGGCAGAGAACCGAAGGCAATGAAGACGTGCAGCTGAAGCCATATGTTCCTCTAGGAACTAAAGGAGACAATAATAATAATAATGATAATTGTTCTATTGAGGTGTAGGCTTTTCGGTGCATGTTTAAAGAATCTTAGGTACACCCTTCTTTCTATTCTCCCAATGTAACTACTACGACAGATACATGTTAATAATTTGTATACACAGACAGAGCTAACATAAGAAGCATATCTACCAACCTGCAAGCATGTTGTTTTATTGTTATACTCACGCTGTCAACTGAGTAGATATGTGGTGTATTGGCTTAACCGGTTGACTTTTAGCCAATGTGTTCCAGTTTTGAGTCTCGCTCATCTACTTCAGCCTAAGCGACGCTCACACGCACATTTAGTAAAGCTATTCCGGGGGACTGTCTTTTTAAGTCATTTTCAATAGAATATATTTTATTATGCTTTTATATAATATAATTTACTTTCACCTCTCTCTAATTTTAGGTTGTATCCAATTTCGATATTGAATTTCAACGAGCTCGTGAATTGTTCATGCGAAATCGAAAATTTCAACGGAATCATTCGCAAACCGATAAATATGAACGAAACGTTTCTGAAGCTGTGAAAAGCGAAGTGAAAAAAGACAATGTTAAACCTAAAACAGTCTTAGATTATGACTATTATAATTATGATTCTTCTTCTTCTTCGAGAACACAACCTTCTGTATACTTCACAGCCTCTTACATTGTAGGCATTACATTTAGTTTATTTTTCATATACTACTGTTTAGTACAGTCGAAATGAACAATGGTGTAGAATTATTGTTCATATTTTTCTGTATAATCAATTCTTGTTGAAATCTGGAAAAAGAAATGATATGATGAATTTTAGAAATAATGTTTTTATTCCTTTACGTTCCCAGTGGTGGAATATAGGGCTTCAAGCTAGAGGATTGAAGTTTCGGTAGCAGCGGTGCTTATTTTTACGAGATGGAGTTGCTAGATAGTCGCATGCCCAACCTTCCCTCTTTACCAATCTTATTACTGGCTCAGCAAGACAGGGCAGTGCGCGTCGGCCGCGGGGATCGAACTTCGAACCACATGAGGCGTGGTTGGCGAGCATTCTGCCGCTGTACGCTTTTCGACCAATTAGTTTTTTGATGTCCTAATTTTTATTCAGAAAGTATACTTCGACTTATTAAGAAAAGGCAGGAATTCAAGCGGAGAAAGATGTCAGGTTTTGGAAAATATTTTCTTGATCGAATAAGTAATTTTCAGAGGCTATGGTGGTCGTAGGGAAGTGACTGACTGATTGGTTTTTCAAGATAGAACTTTGCATAGAAGTGCAGCCCTTCGAGATGCTACACTTCATATATCGCACAAAGCAAGTCAAAAGAAATTCAAAAGAACGCTGATATTATCACTTATATATAAACAAAAATGTGAAGGAGAAAGAGTATTAATAACATGGAAAAACAAACAGTAGGGTTCAATAGATATCTGCAGATCGAAAAGAGTGAAGAATGCATCTGAGCCATTGAGAGAATGATGGCGAGCCATATCACCAATTGTTTACAATCCTTAACTCCTAGCATCCCGAGGACTTCAACCAGCCAAGCAGTCTGCACCTCTCTCAACGTGACCGGTTCAAACTAGCACTTATAGATTTCCTGAACTGATTCCAACTTTTGTTCTGACCACTACAGCTATTTTCCAACCTGATCCTATATCAGCTGACATTCCACGATACGGAAAGCAATGATTAAGTATTGCAATAAGTATTATAAATGTAATCAGATGATGATCAGTACATTAGGACTAACATTTTATATGACCGACTGACTGAGAAAAAAAGAGATTCCAGAGAACGACAATAACCAGAAATGGGGTAGAGAGAAAGAGTAGTAGTGTCATTGGAAAAGAGTAGCGTTTGACTTTGATGTGCGAGATCGAAAAGAACAACCGAATGCATCTGAGACTGTTGAGAATGATTTCGAACCATTTCACTAATTGTCTCCAGTCTTCATTGGTACTTAGAATCCTGATGACTCCGAAAACGAAGTGTACACCTCCCTATGTCAGCTAACATTTCCCGTCGAGGATGGCTAGAGATGCGTAAGAGACACATGACTCTGCCATCTCACTCGTTGTGAGTTCAGACCCCCATCGATTGACTTTCACTCGTTATCAAACATTTCAGGTCTAACGTGAATATTAATTATTCTATTATCCCACCTAACACGGGAGATGAAATGCAGACATGTATGATCAAAGACGACTAGTCTCCCACTTTCAGTGACCATGTCTAACTCATAGCCATATTACAGAGGACGGAGCGAACTGGTGCTGTGCACTAAACACATCTATCGATCGATAGCCAGCTGAATATCACATCGACGCCATTTACTTCCACAGGATTCCTTTCGAAGCCAAACATTGTCATAGTACCTCTCAGTCGACGGAGTGAAATTCCGCCTTCGTCTTAAGAAATATGTGGATAGTTGGACACCGGTGAGGATGGTACTGTTCCAGAATCTGTCAAACGGTGAAGATATGATCAATACACACACCCACACTCCACCTGGTCTATAACCTGACTGGTTTTCTCGTGTTTGTTTCTCTCGAGCACCACTTAAATCTGCGCGTGGTTATTCAGCCTAGAACCTTAGATATCATATTAGTCAAGATAGTCATGATAATCACAGGAAGACTTGTTTCCGTGTACTGCTTCAATCAATGAGTTACACCAGTCCAATGGGACTATCTCCGATTCCCAAACGTTTACCAATACGTTAGTTCGCCCAGCCAGTAATTTATCACCATAGTCCCTAAACACTCTAGAGAAGTAGTGATCGACCTTAACAGTCACCTTTATTCAACATGTATGTAGGATCAGTAAGCCGTGGTAGATAAATCATTAAACGAACAGGACGAATATCGCTTCCATTGTCAACTGCTTTCCAACCCACTTTATTCAGTCAACATCGAACCCAGGTCTACTTCAAAGTTGGATTATTAGGATTACGAATGTTGGTGAAGTAATGCTATATGTTGAATGACTTCGAAAAATGCCTTAGGCTGTCAAATACTTCTAAATCACTCAAAACATAGCACTAGAAGTATACTAGAATTTCGACTCATCTATTCGAATGTATTTGAACAACTTAGCAACATAACTCTCACCCCGATTCTACTACCCATAGATAATTTATCCGTACGAAGATGGAAACAAATTCAGCATACTAACGCAGATGTCTAGTCTAGAATGACCGATATGAGTCAAAGTAATGAAAAGCCAATCAAAACCTGCGCCTGTCGCCATTTCCCTATTACACACATGAAGGGAAAAGGTATGATCACTTGTTTACGTCTGTTGAAGTCACAGACAATTGTTGCGACATCTCTGATGATAGTGACCACCTATCATACTGTCATATCATTGATTTTAGGATAGGATGATTAAGTACACACTCAGTGAAGAAGTCAAGCGTTTTTTTCATCTCTTAAAAATGCTCAGAATAAACACATTATAATAAATATATATACATATATTTGTTTTTTTCTAACACAAATGTACAATGAATTTGAAAATATTATACTCATAAGGTTATCAATATATACATATATCATTTGAAAAGCAAAAACAAAAAATGTACGAATTTCAAGAGTATCTTATAAAGGTAAAGGTATTTTGCTTGAACTGGGACGATTCGCAGAATTGCTTCCACTACTGCGAGGACTTTCATCCCATATCGCACTGCTTGTACGTGGTTTCAATGTATAATCATAATCACGGAATATTTCAGGAATACTGAATGGGATCATTGATGCAGGCAGGAATTCATCTTGCCATCTCATTTTAATTGAATGCAAATCACAGAATGCATCCATCAGTTCAGTATTGCCTAAATATGAACAGATGATTATTAATACAAAGATTAAACAACATTAGTTGAATGTGATTAAATATATAACTTAAATTGTAGGCTTATTGTGTTTATCAGTTAATAACCACACAGTAAATCAAAACAAGAAAGACTATCATGTGCTCTATCTCAAAAATCTGCTGGAATACTTGTCATTGTTACACTAGAGTACTAATGAAAACCAGGGAGTGAGTGAGTACTGGACAGCTATTGCGTTCTAGTGTGCTTGGGACTCATGCCGCTTTCATGCACCAACAAAAGGTAGGAAACCAGGACCTTCCGAGTAGAAGTCAAGCTCCTCGACCATTCCGCCACTAGGACCAGACACTCAATCACCGGTTGAATGATATCTACGCCTATACCAATTCGTAATTTTTGGGCGACCGCCAGCCCATGTTAACAGCGAGTACTTAGCCCCCCACTGGTCACGACTTTTCACTAGAACTCTGGCCAACCTCGTTCTGCAGACCAGTAGTAGTCACTAGCGAGAATCAGATTATTTTTCTAGCAATTCTATTTGTCTCAACTGATATACACAATATAGCCTCCCTTAGCTGTCTCACGAAACTTCAAATCACCTCATAATCATGTAAGACTTATAAGACCATAAACACCAAGTGTATCTCATATGATAAATATGCCACTTCTACGGATACACAACTGCTTCCATTGCAATATGTACACATTCAGGAAGTGAAGCTATTGCAATAGGAACTAACAGTCTCTGTTTACGTCGCTACAGTGGTATATACATATATTACTATAGTGACATATCACTAAAATAATGCATTATTGGAAATAGGATGTACTCAATATGAAGAAGAAAATTCGGATTTTCAACACCACTGTCAGTCAATTCTTGTATATGGATCAGTAACTTGTCTTTAGTGTCACGAAAAGCACTTCAAGCAGCACACTGAAGACTTTCATCAACAACTGCCTCCGCCAGCTCCATACTGAAGATCAGACGGCGGGCTGGAAAACATTAGCAACAAGAAACTCTAGCAACCAACAAACCAATTAAGAAGCTACTGCGCTCAACAAACATGTGGAAGAAATTAGAGATGAGTCGGATACACGCTGACTACACTCTTGGCTGATGCATCGCGCGCCAGGTCATCGAGTGGAACCTGAATGCGAAACGACGAGTTGGGCGTACGAAGGTGATATGGAGGAGATGGAAGCTCAAGGGAAATCATGGAGTCAGCTAAAAGAGACTGCAAAGAACCGGACGCAATGGTGATGCCCTTCTATTGAAGGCCTGTGTTCTACTCGGAACCCAATGGAATAATAATGATGATAATAACTCAGATAAAATTTTATCAGTAAATAAAATCATAACGAACTACTCCACAGATGAATGTTAAGTGAAATACTACCCACCTTTACGACACCATTCTGGACAATGACCACCTGAATCCTCATCGTCTGATTCCGAATCTGAATTACACTTTGATATATTGAACGGTTCCCTGAAGAAGAAAAAGAAGAATAAGAATACACAAAACAAAACTTTCGTTTAATGAACTGTGTCCTGGTGTTTTAATTGCGTATTTTACTAGTAACCCAGAAAAGAAAAATTAGTAACTTGTCAGTAGTAATCATTGTAAAGTCTATGACTATAGTGAAGGATAATTCCAGAAACTCGCAGAGAAACTTCAAGCACCGAAGTAGTCTGAGCGCACACCATCGATGTGACCTCAGAACGCTAAGCCACGTGACCAAGTTAATCGAACCTACTAAATAACACCACAATCATGAATAAAAACTACTTAATGAAATGTTATGATATTATGTTGGAGTATTGGGGATAAATCTATGGCTCGGTTTTGGAAAAATTTCGTTAAGGTTCAGGCTAAGGACAAGTTAGGGTTAGAAGGAATTAGATGAATACACATGCAGAACGTAGTCTTATTCCCGTATTGACACTACGATGCAAAACTGGGAGGCATTTTTGTTACACATCAGAAAAAGGTATCCTGTACACGGTTTCACGCCTTTTATTCTTTATTTTCATCTTTCTGCAGTGTATCTTATCCGTTAAAATACCCTTTTCCAAGTGACTGACGTATCTCACTCCTTTGGTGTTCAAAGTTCAACATCTGGGAATCACTTATACTCCCACTGGGTTGGTACTATAGGAATGTTTGACTGGCAAAGGAGTCCCAAGAAAGTTAACGGCGTCGATGTGATATTCAGCTGGCTATCGATCGATAGATGTGTCTAGTGCACAGCACCAGTTCGCTCCGTCCTCTGTAATATGGCTATGAGTTAGACATGGTCATTGAAAGTGGGAGACTAGTCGTCTTTGATCATACATGTCTGCATTTCATCTCCCGTGTTAGGTGGGATAATAGAATAATTAATATTCACGTTAGGCCTGAAATGTTTGATAACGAGTGAAAGTCAATCGATGGGGGTCTGAACTCACAACGAGTGAGATGGCCGAGACATGTGTCTGTTACGCATCCCTAGTCATCATCGGCCATCCTCGATGAGAAATGTTAGCTGACATAGGATCGGTCAGGTTGGAAAAGAGCCAGCGGTGGTCAAACGAGAACTTGGCAGCAGTCCATGAAATCTCCGACAGTTAGTCAGAGCCAACCACGTAGGGAGGTGTAGACCTCGTGTTTGGAGTCATCAGGATTCTAAGAACCAATGAAGACTGGAGACAATTAGTGAAATGGTTCGAAATCATTCTCAACTGTCTCAGATGCATTCGGTTGTTCTTTTTGATCTCGCACATCAAAGTCAAACGCTACTCTTTTCCAATGATACTACTACTCTTTCTCTCTACCCCATTTCTGGTTATTGTCGTTCTCTGGAATCTCTTTTTTTCTCAGTCAGTCGGTCATATAAAATGTTAGTCCTAATGTACTGATCATCATCTGATTACATTTATAATACTTATTTCAATACTAAAAACAAACAAGTTACACTGCACATGTGTATACATTTATAATAAACATTACAAGATAGAATTTAACTCACTCGACTACTGGACTACTGATTACTGGTACTGCCTTGGGTTCAACAACTTTCTTCTGTAGTTGCGATTGTCCAACAGGTTGATTTGTGTGAACTTTCACCATTGGTTGAACTTTCTGACAGCTTGCTGGTTGAGATGGCTTCATTACACTAACAGGTTTATTCTGTAGTCTAAGCACCTTATTGTGATCCTTAGTATTTAGGCTTACTAAACACTTTTTCGCTGGATTATTATTAGTAGCAGTAGTAGTAGTAGTACTAGAAGCAGTAGCACTATTACTCTGTAATGGCTTAGCTTGTACACTCGTACTTGCACCAGGGGGAAGATTTTCCTGAAATAAATTCAAATTAAAACACCGTGTTTTAAGAGGGATGTCTAACTTGATAGATACACACAATATGCACCTGACCACTTCTTCGACACACAGACAACAAGGGATGAAGGGACAGTTTTTGCTGAAGTAACATATAAAAGTGACATTCACACCAACCAAAAACTCAATCAGAAACAAGCTTTGTCGGTTAAAGCATCAATCCTGTGGAGCCTTTAAAACAAAACAATCGAGTTTATCTAATACCCTGCTGGAGATGATTTTCAGGTCAAACTAGTGGAACAGGGGCAGTCAGATTAGCCGAGCATGAAAACCTAGCGAAATCTCGATTAGTTGACCCGAAAAAGATAAGAAATCTACAGAATAGTTCAGCCGAAGATAGCACTCACTACATGCAATTACACACAATCATACAATAGGATGCATGGGATAGGATGACAGTTTTAAAATCTAATATAACAGCAGGGTGGAGGGAGAGATTGATAACAGAAGCTTTGTTCATCGAATCAACTGCAAACACATGTAATTGGGATGATCCAACACCTGTCCCAGATATTTGGAAAATTCCAATACCACAACGACGACAAATAGGAGAGAACAAAGAAAACTGTAAAACTCAAGTTTCGAAGTCGTGTGATTACAACTGATATGACTATGAACAATAAATTCTGTTCGTAACCTCGTCATCCAGTAAATAATACTGTTTCACTGTGTGATACATCTAATAAACAAACTAATATGGAATAACACATTTTTCATTGATAACATGACATGAATCTAGATTCACCGCCGTAAACACTTGTCTTTCACGATAATAGCAGTGTTCTTTCTACAGTCTGCATGAAACAAGCCGTAAGTAAATAAAGGATACATTTGAAAAATGAATGGTAAGCTGTCCATGTTAGGATGTCAAGCAGCAAACCACCAAAGATGCAAAGAAGAAAAAAGAAAAGAACTTCCCTGAGAACAGGATATTCGAATTTCTCAAATGATTATTACAGTGTATACTAAAAGCACACTTTCTTAAAACAAACGCTCAACCGATGGCAAAAGAATTATTTTACCATGAGCATAAACATCCACAACGTTGTGGAGCTTCAATCAAGAGTCAGTTGTGAAGTTTCAGTAGCAATGGTGTCATGCATTCTTGAGGAGGACGATTGCTAGCCGTATTTCTTCTTCTACTTCCTCATTTTATTTTTAATGATTTCAGTGAAGATGATTCTACGGAAGTTGAAGGTGATGATTTACTTAAAGATTACGAAAAACTCTATACACACACTAGATAATAATTAGCATCAAATAAACTAAGGAAATCAGGACAAATTACAATAGAAAAAAGATCAATGGCGAATGAAATCTAACGGTCCTGTTTTATCTCGATTTTACGGTTGACCAAAACTAAACACATCCCCTTACGACCAATCGTTTTTTGTTACCAGCATCATCTACACATAATCTATCTCTGAAGGACTGTAAAAGACAATTTGAATACATAACAAAATCATGCGACCATTCTATCAATTGACCAACCCATATTTCAGGGAAAATAATCAGAAACATTCAATTCATGAGAGATGTCGTCCACATATCTAACATACAATTGGAAATTGTCTATAGTTGATTTGAGTGGGCCGTTCTCGAAGCTTCCCATGAAACAGTCGGCTAGTAATGGGCTCAGTGGAGTTTCCATTGCGATCCCACCTTCTTGTCTGTAAATAACATCCTTGTATGTGAATTGTACATTGAGTGTACATCTCAGTAGTAGTTCTTTTAAACAAGTCGTCGGTAATCCGATGTTCAGCTGATTTCCACCTATATATTGACAAATGTGACAGACAGTTTCTGTGAGTGGAACGTTGGTAAATAGTGACTCAATGTCGAGAGAGAGCATATTTTTCTTCTTTACATTGATATCTTTATTATAATAGACGAATTGGAAGGTGTCACGAAGTGTGGCTGCAGAAAGGAAGAAGTAGTAGTCGTATAAGGAGTGCAATAATCGAACATCTCGTCAACACTGGTCATTCCATCTCAACAAACGCCTCCTTCAAAGTAATCTACAAAGTGAAGAACAACCTTACAAAGACAATACGTTTACGTCGTCTTTGCATTGCAGAAGCCCTAGCCATTCAGTTGGAAGAACCAGAAGTATACATACAAAATATCACAGCATTACACACTTCAGTTGTTGTGAAACTAGCAAAAGATATTATGCAACGACTACTTTATAGCGATGAACACACAAAGCTCAATAATGTTTAACTGGGATGGGACTCATAGAATTACGCCTTATAACATACTTTCAATTCAACAGTCAAATATGAGAACACATCAAAGAAGTGTCAGTGGGATCGTGCCCATAACAGGAGTAATAAACAGCTGATGCTGTCATGCAAAGATTAGAATTAATAGCCCAACCCCATATTAGGCCAAAAATCTGGATACGACACGTTGACGCTACATTCGAAATAATTAAAAGAAATCAATTGGAATACACCCACAAAACAATATATAACACATATGAAGACAATTAATTCACAAGAGAAGAAGAATCAGACAGCAGAATTTCATCCTTAGATGTCTTAGTAAACAGAACTACCACAGAAAATTTGGAAACGCAGGTATACAGGAAATCAACTCACAAAGACCAAATACTCAACTATGGACTGGACTGGTTTCAACGTAGAATTTTGCACAGATGTGCACCATTTCGAATTACCACACTTCACGTAGCACACAAAGCGAGAGAAGGTAAAAGGAGATTCATAAGAGAGATAATAAACACAGATATGAGGCAAAAAGAATAGTAATGTAGAAAAACAATACAGTTTCATTGGATATTATGAGTCACAATGAGTGGATGCATCTGCACCACTGACAACGATTTTGAGCCATATCACCAATTGTCTCCAGCCTTCATTGGTTCTTGCCATCCTGAGGACCCCAACCAGCCAGCTTGTCTACCTCCCTACGTGACTGGCTTAAACTAACTCTTGTCGATTTCATCGACTGATGAAGCCATGTTTTGCTTTCACCAACAATGGCTCTTTTCCACTCTGATCCTATGTCAGCTAACATTTCCCATTGAGGAAGCCGATGGCTAAGCATGCATGCGTAACACATGTACTAACCATCTCAATCGGTATAACTTCACAACCTCGTCGATTGATTTATACTCAACTATGATAATAGTAATTGCCCAATTACTCACAAAACAAACTGGGTGTAGACATTGTCCAAGAGAGTTAGTTTATACACACTGTAGCACTCCAATGCTATTGAAAATAAAATACCCAAAATGCCTGGTACTCAAATGAATCAGTGATTAACCAACACATTACTACAGCAGAAATCTACCAACTAATGAGGAATAGTGAGTCACATGACAAGAAAGTCCAAACTCCAAGTCAATAAAAATGTAAATTAACAACCAATCACGATAAAGGAGGTTGTCAGGAGATACAGTTAAATCATTCGTGCAGGAACAATTTGAACAAGTTCTTTTCATTATGAAACCTGCTCTGAAGATGTTGTCTAAAAGGACAATGAAAGCTTCGCAATTAAAAACACCAGCTAAACGAACCCAACTAAGTCACAATCAATATGCCAGAGACATAAGACACACAGTAGCAAGATGAGCGCAATCTATACATACATATATAGTATATACATATAATATTGAGGGGGAAAAAACAACTGACAACAGGTTTGTACACAACAACATCAAAGAGAAAAACATACTTTAACTTGAAATTGATTCCCTTGCAACAATTGTTGATATCTCTGATGAGCGGCTAGAAAACGTTCATCATTAGCCTTTTTACGAGCTTCCGCTTTTAGTCTTTTCTCTTCTTGGAAAGCACGTAAACGTTCATTTTTCTTTTCCATCTGTTCAATGACAAGTTTTCTTTTCTCTTCAAGAATTTTCTCTTTCGCAGACAAAACAGAAGACGTTGATCGATTAGTCTGTTTCACAGTTGAACAATTCAACGAAGTGTTCGCTGATGTTCTCTCCTTAATGGAATTCATTTTCCAATCTGTATATTCAGAGAGAAGAGACAGAGAGCGACAGAAAAATAATCGAATTATCAAACAGACACCCTACGTTTTCTATTTCATAATTACTTGATAACATGCATACATTTATGAATACCATTATACGTGGAACCAGATCTGAATCTGTCATCCATAGGCCAGAAAACAAATAAGCCATAACGCTACTACTACTTCTACTACTACTGTAGTCAGAGCTGTCTGCTAGCCAAAATTGTGGACAGCAATTTACGTCAATCTTTATGTCCCGAATAGGGGTCATGGGAAAAAACAATGACAAAGCTCAACCTTCAGGAGCTCACCAACCAATCACAGCAGACTTAACGTGTGCCAATATGATTCGCAGATACATGGCTCAACTTTCTAGGAAACGGTCACAAGCAATACAGAATAAACTTCAACAAGAAAACAACCAATCGAAAGACGTTGCTTCTCCGCTAACAATAACGCTAATAATAATGTACACAAAAGTCTATAAATATCTGTTGATTTTCTCAATAAACGACCTGTTGCCTGGCCCTTGTCGTCTTCTGTCGTTACACTACTACCAATGGACAAAGGAATAATTAGTACACCACACTTAAAACTAACAGCAAACGTCTATAGAGTAGAATCCAATGAATTCGTCACATTTCGGTAGAATTCCTCAGCCGAATACTCTACATACAGGGATATATATATATATCCCTGTATGTAGTGTTTTCAGCCGAAGAGTTCTAATGAAATTTCATGAATTCATTAAGTCCTGCTTTGTTGCTTGTTTGAAAGTTTTATCAGCGAATAATAAATGTCCCGAACAACAAATTCACAGTAACCTTAGACATGATGATGAAACACTTCAAATTGCACCACAATCAGTGGATAAGTCAACGAATCAATCAGAAAGATACTACAAATTTCGAATAGTTTGTTTCTTCACAACTGCACTGATTCAGGTAACATACAGTTGAGGACATGTAAAACAGTTAAATGCTTTCAGTAAAAATAGATTCGGTGAGACATGAATTGACTTATTTGCCCATAACTCAGACTGCTACTGTCAATGTTGGTCAACAGTGAAGCGTTTGTTTATTCGAGCTGGTCTCCATTGGGCACGAGACAAGAAAGCTATCGTTGCTTAATTGTATACTGGTTGGCAGAGGACTGGAGAAATACACTCAGAAGTGTTATTATGCATTAGATTAACGTTCATTTACAGACTTTGCATGTAGTAAATCGTAATTCTGTTTTCTTATAGGTCGAAAAATAAACAATCCTATTGCCCAACCATTTTCTGTTCCTCAGCGTCGGTTACCTTGCATACGCCTCTGCGTATCAGGCGTAGTCTTCTGAAACCAGAGATAGGTTCAGGATCTCTGAGATCCGATACTGACAATAGTCACACACACACACACATGCAGATTTTAAAGTATGAAATTCATTCAGCAGTCTCGTTTTACGATTCCAAGGCTACAATAATATCACGGCATACAATGATTATTAACCTGAGACACGTGACATGTAAGAGATGAAAGATTTTGGTCAATCATGGGAACAAACTAAAGACGACTGAAGAGAACAGAACAAGATGGACATGTGCTGTTGAAGTTTCATGTTCCACAGGGAACCCCAAGGGAATAATAAACAAAAAACAGTGAGGTGTTCAAGCGACAACTGGCCGAGGATAAACATATAAGCAATGCACCGACAACCTGAACAACACCTAATCTCCTCTTCATATATCCATTTCCGACGCCTTCTACACAGTCGAGGTGGTGTGTGACAACACCTAGTACATTTGAAGTGACTGCTATCATAATAATGCCTCCAAAGTTACTATGATAGCTTGATTTCAGGTCGATGAAACAATCAAAGTTTCCCTATATTCTCAATTAATCTTTGAAGACTGCTGCTCCAGATACAATTAAGGGATTAACCGAATTTTGTACATCCTCAAGTAAGCGTAACTATGTAGAAAGAAAGTATTCAAAAAAATGTTTATTTTGGTGTAGTTGTGTTCCCTGAGCTGAATGGTTTATAGTTCCGGAGCTTTCATTGTCTTACTTACTAGGCAACATCATTCAGTGCATACTTCAATTTGAAAGCTTCGCAACTAAACCATCCACAGCTCAGAGAAGACAACTACACCAAAATCATTGACTTCACCTAAAAGTCTTCTCTTCACTATATCTAAAAACGTTTATAGTATCATACTCAAAACTGAATATCAAAAGAAATCCAAAAAAGTAATATATTAATACAAGCCAAAAACAAAAAACCCACCCGTTTTGCCTTTTGATGGTAGGACGGATCGACCGAGAGAATGAAGCCGCGAAACACCACCAAGTCTCTCAGCCGATGAAAACAAACGCGACGTATTATAATCCTTAACAACTTTATTTCCAAACGTTGTCGTTTGATGACTTCTTCCAGTAAGAAGCCTTGAAACATGCTTCACTTTTGAGTCAACTGAATACGAGGAATGGTGTACACCATTCTGCGACACATTCTAAAATGGAGATGAAAAACAAAAAGCCAAGACTAATTGTTTGAAGGTAAATCAGTGTAAAACTATCATCACAGAGATGCATATATATGTATGGTATGTGCTTTGCGCCGTCTAAGTGCAAAGTACTGTTACAAGATTGGCAGGAGCCTGTACCTGCACTCACTCTTGCGGGTGAACCGCTTGAAGTTGTCGATAAGTTTGTGTACCTAGGTAATTGTGTGAGTGCTGGCGAAGGGGTGACGGATGAGATTTCCAACCGTATAATGAAAGCTAGGGTGGCACACATCGACTTGAGCCACCTCTGGCGCCGTCGCGACGTTAGCCTGGCTGTCAAAGGTCGGGTATACAATGCTTCGGTGCGGGCTGCGCTGCTCTACGCCTGTGAAACCTGGCGTCTCCGAGCTGAGGATGTGAGGCGACTCTGCGTGTTCGATCACCTCTGTCTCCGCAGGATTGCTTGCGTTCGATGGCATCATCGCGTGAGTAATTCTGAGGTTCGGTGGCGTGTGTTTGAACACAGTGGAGATCACCATTCATTGAGTGTCGTCATCTGGAAACACCGGCTCCGGTGGCTTGGACATTTGCTGCGAATGTCACCCCAGAGGCTTCCGTACAGGTCTCTGTTCGCTAGCCCTGGAACGGGATGGAAAACGCGGAGAGGTGGTCAGCCCATGACGTGGCGTCGTGGGATGAAGTTCTTTATTCGTTCTCTACTTATATATATTTTTTCTTTTCCTGCCTTCCTTCCTTTTTTTCATCTATGTTGTTTTATTATTATTGTGTGGCGCATCCTTCTTGGTGCCATATTGTACCAAGTTTTAATGCGTTTAAATAAATAAATAATATATGTATGCATTTATACATCACACTTGATTACTTTATAAGCTAAGGGGTATTTTAGATGAAAACTCTTTCGTCTAAAAAATATCATACCACCACAAAGCCCTGATATACACAGTCTAATCATCACTATGATTTCATCTGTGGAATAGCTCCTACATATATCATCTATCATGTGAAAGACAAATAAACGGACGATGACACCCCACCAAACTCCACTCCACCCCAACAACAACAACCACGTCAGACAAAAGTTGCACAACACTTAAAATCACCATCATTAAGAGACATAAAACCAATCACAACACAAAGATATTACAACCAAAACACACAGGAGAGGATGAAGACACAATAACCAGACATTCAAGATTCATATAAGGAGATAAAAAGCCTTACACTGCCACTGACATTTTAGCTGTAAACCTAAATACTCAACAGATGATTCGTAATCTCATTTGTCTACTGTTGAATCTCGGTGTGGTCACCAAGACACTAACCACAACATAATCCGGGTGAAGCATTCAAAAGAATAACGAATATTCTAGTCACTAGCACAAGTGGAAAAATTTAGTAGTTGCACCTGCCTTAAAAATTCACTTTTAAATACAGAATTTGGAACTTGGTGATTCTAAAGGTTTCTTAGGCAAAAACACCTCCACCTTACCGTTAAATGAAGACAATACGTAGATGATGCGTTTGAAAAAGTTCCTTAGAAGACACCACACACATTTATCATTGATAAGAAAACAATGAATGGCTAGTCACCAAGAAAAAGATATCTGCAGTATAAGCCAGTCGAAAAGCTTTCATTCATATAATTCAACGAATTGTATACACATAAAAAAATCTATAACATGGGTTATATTCTACAGGAAACATAATCAACACAAACAATATTCCCTACAGCAGTGACACACACAATATTAACATGAAAACGATCAGCTCGCACCTCAAACGGCAGAAAAACACTTAGTCCAAAATACATAAAAACCAAAAATAATATATATAGGGACCAAAAGCAACAAACAAACACCAATGAAAGACACGATACCGCACTACCAGCTTCATTCCTTATCCAAACACTAGATACATTAAGCAGAAAATTTCTAAACAACATACTTTACTACGACTCCAACGTGTATTAGGTGATTTTTCAGGAACAGCTTTCTTCAAAGGTAAATTTTCATCCTCTTCACATAGTCTGTTGAAAGATGCTTCTTTTTCCCCAATCCTCGAGGCAGGCAATTCACCTGCATTCGACTCATTACTCGTACTCACCGTCTTCTGCTATGAAGTATAACAACAACATAAATAAATAAATAAATAAAAACAAGATGTAACATCATCAAAGTATTTCCAAGTAATCGAAACACCTGCAGATAACCGACCACAGTGTCTGCGGGACTATTGTGCGTACTGTTATTACACCTCTTGGTCAATAAGAATAAAGTGTCGGCTAACCATCCTCGTTGACTGACTCACATTACTCATGAGAGTCGGGATTCGATATTTAATTATTGCACCTATTCCCCGATCCCCTATGGGGAAGTCAAGTCAAGTCTCTAGTCAGTCACTTTTCATACCTTATCTATCCCACCCACCCCCCACCTAATCCTTGCAAATGCAATTTTACTTCCACAGACTGCTGCTTTTCACTTAGATTTATTCCAAACAACTCAATACATAAGTTATCATTAAATAAATCAGCTCATAGAACCTTTCTTCTACCAGTTATTAATTACCATTAGAAATCCAATCACCTCACACTGCGAAATCTGATGACTTCTAATTCTTCACACAATCACAAATTCAATGTCATCATCACCAATCAATGAGTCAGTCATACCAACTTGTCCTTTCGCCTTTTATTCAACAACACATCTATACAACCGTGTCACACACACACACACACACAATGAATTATTATCATTCTGCTTCTATTCCCTATCTCCATTTATGTGACAATCACACCACCCACAGTTGCCATCTTCACCTGGTCGTGGTCAGTCTTCCACTTCACAATGACCCAGTGGGATACGCTCGCAGGAACCATCCCTACGGATAACTGTTAGACAAAAAGCATATATCATTATACTACTGTAAGTTTCTCACACTATGTTGGGGTTCTCAGGGTCAAGCCACACACACGTCTTACCAATACGGCTTCAGCAGCAGTTACGTGATTCTCTCGGACAAACTGAAACCAGCCTATATTAGCTCCATACCGAAAATCACACATCCCAACTTACTTACGAGCGATCCCTAGCCCCTGGTTACATCTTTACATGGACACAACTACGAAAACACTTCAAACTCAACTTGTGTCACTGACCGTCTTAAGCAGTTGTCCCTTCGGCTCAACGTCACGCAATTTTAGTACTCCTTCTCTTCCACACACTCCAAAAGCAAACAAACTTCCACGCTGTGCTGTCAACAACCAGGAAGTTGTAACAAACCCCTACACACTTTCCTAATCACACAAGACTTTCCTCACCATTAACTACCCACCTTCGTCTAATTGCTTTACACCAACCACTGTTAACACTCTCCCACTAGCAGCTCCGCCACGTTCTCTTATCTCTCCACCAACAATACAGACAGAGAGGCAGACCAAAACCCAAATACACTACTGATGGTCGCTGAAACCATGCTGCCAGTTTCATATTCATGAAGTATTCATCAAAGTCATGACTGTTTCTCAAACCTGACAACAGACCTCACATCACCAACAACTCTCATATCTCCACCCATCGATGCATTTCCTTTCCCATTGCAACACACACAACACCCAAGTCTGGCTATTCACATAAACCAAGATCACATACTTATAAGCTATCGATGAACACATACATATGCAACAACCTGTGGACACTCCCACTGTGCTCCAGTTCCCGCCAACCTATAATATGCCTACCACAAAACCGATTTAGGTAGGTGTAGTAACAGTGGGAATCACTTATAAATTCAACAAGTACAAAACAGTACAAATACCTACAAATACATCAGAGAAAAAATACCATCCTCATGTAGAAAATACTAAACTGGACCACCATGTTCTAAGCTAATCACCATCCAATCACAACACAATACAATAGTCATCTCTCCTGGCGGAAGCAAGTATGCAACTAACTACACAACACAAACTTTCGCTTCCTTCCTTCCTTATCCAAACACTAGATACATTAAGCAGAAAATTTCTAAACAACATACTTTACTACGACTCCAACGTGTATTAGGTGATTTTTCAGGAACAGCTTTCTTCAAAGGTAAATTTTCATCCTCTTCACATAGTCTGTTGAAAGATGCTTCTTTTTCCCCAATCCTCGAGGCAGGCAATTCACCTGCATTCGACTCATTACTCGTACTCACCGTCTTCTGCTATGAAGTATAACAACAACATAAATAAATAAATAAAAACAAGATGTAACATCATCAAAGTATTTCCAAGTAATCGAAACACTTGCAGATAACCGACCACAGTGTCTACGGGACTACTGTGTGTATTGTTATTACACCTCTTGGTGAATAAGAATATAACTCTTGACGAGAGCTGTTTCATCACCAAAAGGAACATTCAGTTCACTCTCAGTTAATTTATTTTCTCAGAAAAATAAATCAATGTAGAATGATACACACCTAAGGATTGACATGTGAAGAGACAAAATGATAGCCTAATAGATAGACATGCGACAGAGACAAAACAAGACTAGCAAGTGTGTGGGACTTTATTAGCTGAGCCAATACGCCATTGCAGACAATTTTCAGTGTAATTTTGCATTTGGACTCCGACTATCCCGAGTCACAGACACACGACCTATGATACAACAGGCAGCCACCGCACAGGTCACTATAAACAAGGATACACTTCAAAGTTCCAAATGCATGGAGTAGCTCAATATCAGTGTCTAACGATTTCAGAAGTAAGGCTAAACACTTCTGACTGTGCTCATGAAGTGCAGCAGGCAAATGTTTGTAGTTACATTTGACAACTCACTAGATGCCTAATATTCATGACACTATTTAGTCAAATGTTTTCAAAGTTCATATAACTTAAAACCATTGTTACTATTATACTCACCTTAAGATAACTGGCACGTTTCCGAGGTGGCTCATCATCATCATAAGCATCCACAGGTATTCGACGCTTCTGTTCCAAAACAGCAGTTTTTGCCTCAGGAGTGTTCTCTTTCAAGGTGTGAGAATCACTTTGGTCGCAAATATTTCTACTCGTTCGGGAAACCTGCAAGAAATACACATTATCTTAGGGTTTAACACTGACACCAAACAAGTTCGTACGAATATTGAATTCAGTCTACATTTCATTGTGTTGACCATACACACAGTCGCTCACTTATATGACTTTCAACTTCAGCTGACTATTCTCTTCGAGAAAGTTAGTGGTCCAGCATTCGTAGCCAATGTCCAAAACACTGATTTTTAATGTGCACTTCAACAACTGACAGAACGGATATATAATATATAAGTGCTGTGACAGATAACCGGATATCAATGAAGTGTGGAAACTTCTCAAGTTGGCCAATCCCAAAGAAACCATTTGTATTTATGCTGAGATTACGCCAGCAACGCGTTCACTACGATTGATGAAACTGCATATAAGCGACATGGTCAACGCAATTAGCCACTTCACTACTTTTACTAATCTATGGGCCGCCACATTCCAATCCTGTGTCAGAGAACTTTTAAAAATTGCGAAGCACATACCAGTTACATATAGATGAAATGTGACGGTCGACGAGAGCCGTGTACAGACATACACCGTATGCATCAAGTCACAATGAATTCCACAGATGACACTAGTCACACTTTCCGACCTTGACGCAACTTTTACTAGCACGACTGGTCACCATTTTCGTGACAATAGATCTCTTTGGTAAGTACTGTCAAGAGGCATTTGAAGAAAGAACGTACTTTTCATCAAGGGAACAGACATCAGTACATTCACTGTGTGAACCCATGTTTGCTACAACCCACTAGGTCCATTAATTCACTTTAAAAAAAGGACATTGAAAAACATTGTTAACTTAGGCTTGTGAATCTATCCTTAAGACAATGCCTGATAACCCAGTACTTAGCAGTGTTTATTTCACAAGGTTGAGACGGCAGGGGAAGTCGACCCAAACTTATCTTAAGCAACGTGAAAAGACAAACTCTCCCAATCTGGGCAGAAAAGTCTATGGAATGAATGAATTCTAACCAATGGATATACATTGAATAAGTTCGACCAGAAATCTCTATCCAACTTCATGATACACTACTGAAAATACCAGTGTACTAAATCACCCATCCTGACATTACTTCAGAAACAGGGGGTCGATATATATTTCCATTTCACTTACATTTGCCAGTGCCGGCTGTTTACTACTCTTCCTTCCACTTCTCACTTGTCGTTTTGACTTTCCGGTGTCCTTTAGCACCGTCAACGGAGACCTGCAGCCTGAGTCTTGATACGTTTTGGTACGATTTAAGGGACTATGTTCACACCTGCTAGAGTGTATACTCACTTTCGCCTGGCGCTTTTCAGTCCCCGGAGTCCCAGACAAAGCATGAGTACTTTCAATCCTTTAAGAGTAAATAATTAACTGACAGATGTAGCTTACTCTTCCCGATTCGGTCTAATTATTCTCACATTTCCTATAGTATTACATATCTCTTGTAGTGTAGCCCAACGATGTTCTTCGATTTGCTTCGCAATAGTCTTAATAACAGCCTCAGTCTGCAGGAACTGTTGATACAACTCCATCATGACGAATCTATACGGCGCGGTTATTCGAAACTCTAACAACCCGCGACCGTTCAAACACACACACAACGTCCAATGCACATTTGCATATGAAAGGTATGAGACTTAGATAATGTTCACTGTGACTCACAACTAAGGGAATATTTGTCTGAGTTTTATCGTGCATGAAGTACACTGTCAGTACACAAAACAATGTCTCACGAGTGTTATACAGTAATATTTACTGTATTTATTTACTGTACTATATATTTATCAGTAAATATTACTGTATAACACTGTGAGACTCTATCAAAATAAAATTTACCCATAATGGAATTACACTCTACCACAGTGCCCAAGTTTTATTCTTATATCAATGTCTTACGATTTCAAAGTACTGAATATCAACTGTTTGGTTGTATACATTTAAATTATGGTAAAACTAGTGAATAAATACTCACTTTTCGTACAGACGACGGCGAATTTCGTCTGAATTGAAGCGAAATGCTGTTTCTCTCGAAGATATGCCCACTACTTCAGACTGTGGTCTTCAATATACTTAATGGTATCTTTAGAATGATTGCAAGTTTGTGCTGAAGATATCCTCAGATCCACTCAGAAAACTATGAGAATGGCGGGTAAATGGGGAGAACTCACATACCTGAGTGTTTCGCCGCTAACACAACTAGTCACGTATGCCAACATATAACTGAGAGGCTAATGGAAATTACGACACCCAAGTCTCGCCTAAAAGAGTTACACTTACATTTACTGACGATAGCGTATTACTTTACTATTATTATTCCGCCTAATTCCGAGTGCAACACAGGACTTGGGCAGAACATCTCCGTTTCATCCTGCCCTCTGCAGTCATCTTTAGCTGACTCCAATATTTCAGGTAAACTCTCATCTCCATGTCACCATGAGACTTCCAAGTAGCCGCCCCCCACTCGCCTTCCACCCAAGGGCCTGGTGTACGGTGTCGCTTTAGCGGTATTCTCAGTGTGTCCAATCCCCTGCAAATCAGTAAAAGAGGTTACGTCTTCCAAATTTCTACCATTTATAATGGGTGGTGCCTGTTATTATTAGTGATCTTATCATACGAACATAAATTTGCATGGAAAGTATGTCATTCCTCTAGAGGCGATGGAACATCATGTAAATTCAGTCATAAAGTGTCAACAAATTACTACTATTTCGATAGTTTGAATAGCTGATTTAGAACTTAATCTGTTCTAGCAAGGCTATATCAACGTTAAATTGGAAAGCCATCGTCAGAATCGAAGGAACAACCCAATTTTCGTCTCTGTTTCTACGTGAGATTGTGCTCAACCGATAACCAACCAATATCCAGATAAGTACCACATCGACGCGTCATTGTAAGCTATTTCAGGAGGAGACGGTAAAGCGGAATAAAGACAAATAAGATCATCACAAATATGACATCATGGAGGAACTGATAGATAATGTAGCTCGCAGCAGAAATGATTTACTGACACTTCAGAAATCAATAGCAGACCTACAGAGCAAGTTTGACAGTATTATGCCCTTCGAGCGGCTGTATGACCCCTCACAAAACATCTATCCAAAATCACTCATCAAATCCGAGCGCATAATTGAATATTTGGCTGAGTATGCTGCTAAGAGGATTATGTCTTCACATAACGTCTTGGCGTATAACATTCCAGACAGAGAGCCTACTGCCAAACTTAAAACTTCATACCTAATGGCTTGTAATATGTCGTTAACAGATGGCCAGGTTTGCATCTTCACAAGAAATCTGCAAACCACTCATTTCCGGTGCTTTTCAAGTTTATTTCTATTGAAGGAGCTAGGAATTTTCTGATTTCTGGTAAGATAGTGGGCTCTTCAGCAGCCTACACTAACATTAGGGTAGCACCTGATTTAACACCATGCCAAAGACGATGCCGCTCAGGAACTCTGAATGCTGATAACCTTCATAGAACAATTGTAGATGAAGTTTCATGCAGTGTTCCGTCTAACCGCATGCATCAGACATTTTTGCAGGCACTGACAAATATTAGCCAAGTGGTGTATAGAAACACTGTTGCTGAAACTGAAATGGTAGACATAGATGGATCAACAGAACATAATGTTGAAATACACCCTTTTACACTGACACAAATGTCAGGAGCCACAAAACATCAAAACCCATCCCAGTCGTGTTCCACTCATCCCCTTATAAGTCACTTGCTCCTCAGTCCGATAATCCATTCACTGCGAAGTACCAGTACGGTGTATCTGCCCATGTTAACAAGTCCTCTAGGCGTTACGACAAACGTCCCATCTCTATCAAGCGCTGCAGGTGTATAAACAACAGAAACCTTGCATAACATTTGCTGGCTGCCCTGTTAGTCACCATCAACCAGGTAAACATCAGGAAGCAGACGCCGAAGTAAATAAATCAAATCCCGAAGCCAGGGCACGAAAGCCAATTGTGATACGACAGGGACGCAAGCACATTTGAGTCATCTTAATGAGACAAAGTCAACTATGGTAGATCAAGCTCCTAGAGGTATGCCTAATTGGTCACAAGTGGAAATCCAATTATATCCAACCACTACTTCTGGACAAACAACGCAGCAAGGCAATCGCTATTATTCTGCTCATCCACCACGCGAACCCATTGTTAGCCATCCCCCTTTGAATGTTCTGTCACCACACACGAGATCGATAAATCTGTTGCAAATCTTAAGCTTATTAGCATTATTGTTATAATATTTATTTATTTATTCCTCTTTATGCAGGAACATACCAATTGTATAGGCATGGATAAGTTATTATATAAATTACAGTTTGTTTGTTCAATCTAACATTAGAGTCAGTCAGAACAGTCTGCAAAATAGTCTGTCTGTGTAACACATAAAGAGATATAGAAATATTGTCTTCGCATTAACAACAAACCCAGGCTTCAGATGAATGTAATACAAATGTCTGGGAAAAATAAAGCTTGAAGTCAATTCTCCTATATAACTTTGTTGTGAACAGCATCCTTGAGATAAAGTTTATTGATGTATTATTTTGATTCAATAATGTATTTATTCCATTTTTCACCAGCCTAATCGTAGTTTTATAATATGAAAGAAATTTGATCTTTGATACGAAAATTAGATAAGTTCATGTCAGATTGTTTTACTGCATTAAATGGGGCCGAGGTCGATTCTAGAACTATCCATTTGCGCCATATGCGTCAGCATGGCAGACTGTACATGTAAGTTGAGTAATACATTGAAAACTGTTTGAAAACCAGTTGTTTCCTTATATCAGATCAAGAATACTCCTTGTACAGAATGTTGGGCAGCGTTTTCAAGTGGTTGCAACGGATCGTTCATGGAATTTGAGTTTGAATTTACTTAAATGGTCATTTCAGTTTAGATGCTGGGTTGTTCGACCTCGACCAGGAGGTATATAGAAGATTACGCTCAGCAGGGAGATAAAGTATGTAAATATGAAAAGAACTTTATTATTTTATGTACATATAAATGTTTGTAAATGTATATCATTGTATAGTAAACACTACCCATAATCTAGTTGTTTTTCATATAATTTTGCGAAGTCTTAGTGTTTATTTAGTGTCGTAATAGTTAGTAATGAGTCTAGGCGTTATAGTGTTCTAATAGCTCATGCGTTTTAGAAATAAGTGGTGCGGTGTGATTGGCATAGTCATTAGGATGAAGCAGTTCATATAGCAAGCGTTTGAAGGTTATGATAGAGTGACAGGTCCTTATTTCTAGGGGTAAACTGTTCCAGATCTTAGAGTACATGACTATGAAGAAGTTTGCACGGAGTGTTGTCTTGCAGTTTTTCCTAGATACTTTGCACGTTTGGTTACGAAGGTTGTAAGAGCCTCCCGGTGAGAACTGTATCTCCTTGCTGTCTGAGAATGATATTTTATGCAATATTTTAAAGAAGAATGTTAGGTTAATGCTCAGTCGTCTCATCTAGAGTGGGTCGATACCTAGAGTTATACACCTTGATGTGTAGTCCTTTTCGCAGTCAAATCCTAGTAGTTTAGACGTGAAGTATCTTTGGACACTTTCTATTTTAAGTTTGTCACTTACGCGAGTGCTGCTGAGAATAAATGGACAATATTCAAGTAGTGGTCTGACACAAGTTTTATATAATAATAGCTTCGCCTCGTAGTTGTGGAAATTCCTGAGTATGCATCCTAGGAGCATCCTCGATTTACGCGTCTGTGTCGGGCGGTATATCTTCCTCTCTGATGAAAAGCCGTGGTAATAACATGAATTTACTCTTTCTCAAGTTATACTTAATTTCACTAACAGATAGGACATACCCTAGCTGCTGGAATAAGTCTTATATTGTACCTATCCATAAACACGGGCCTGAATCTGATATCAACAACTGCCGCCCAGTCAACATCACGTCTGTAGTTTCACGTGTAATGGAAAAGATAGTAAAGATTCAAATCATGCAGCACTTGCTGTCTAACTGCCTAAAGGTCACCATATTCAACAGGTTCTAATCCTTCTAGCCACTTCTCTCTGTAATGTCACTTATATACTTCACGATAATCCTTCTACCTAATTACTATTATACTCCATTTTATCTCAACTTCCTAGGACTTTAATAAAGCTGAAATTTATTTTTTTTCCCTCTTCTCATTTACACCCTTATCTCGCGTAAAGTTCGGTTGCTCTGATGATAAAAAAACAACACTCATGTTTGAGAATAACTATATTTTCATAGAAAACGTCATAGTTTTCCATGGTAAGACCAATATGGTTGGCATCATACATTGCAAATGTGTATTATCATTTCAAGTACTACATACCTTCCTGTATTTATCTTGTAAATATACTTTTAATAATGTATTATTCATAATTGCATTCTATACCATTTTTCAGCTGCGCCAGATATTCTTCAGTTCCTAAAATAGCGTTCAAGCATGTGAAGGCATAGCACTCACTCAAATATATGTTGTTTATGGATTGGCCATTACTATCATCAGGAAATGGAACGAATTTCGGGTTGTCGCTCAACTTCGATGGTGGCCTTCGTGAAATATTTACAAATTAACATTTA